CACAGAACTTCCTGAAAGCTGCTTTGCTCATAGTGACAGGTTATAACAGGGCACATTTAGAGGCAGAAACCAGTCAAGGAAGGAAGAACACAAGTAAGGGTGTGTCCCCTGTGGGGACACCACCAGCATGTATTGCTCACCCTGAATGTCCCCCGCCCCCACTCGCCCAGCTTGATGTGCAGTTTTTATTGGGGCTCCTTACAGATTGTGCACAGCCGACCTCTGGTGTCCACCCCTCTCAGGCCAGTATCTTTATTCTCCAGTTTTGCAAAACCTGGAATGAAACAGAAAGCTCCCTTGGAAGCCACATTGTTAAACTGTCCAGGGCCAAAGTCCCCAGCAAGCAGAGACGGAGATGACGGGTTAGGGAGGCACCCCGGGGCCTAGAGGCAACCGTCCAGTGGCCCTTAGCACAGACTGGACTCTGGCTGGCAGGCTGATTCTTCACTGAGTTTAATGTCCCCCGCTCCCCACCCACATCTATCACTCATATTCAAAGTTATGTTACTAATAGTGCTAATCTCATCTTAGCTGCCCGTGTGCCACTGTCAGTTCACCCCAGTTCACAAGCTGTTACATTTTTACAAGTTTTCTAACCTGGTTGTTAAACCTGGTTGTTAAACACAATCATATATATATAGAAAAAGAATCTGTATTATAGAAACATATATGAGCAGAAAAATAATATTTTTTAAAGATTTATTTATTTATGCATACAGAACTGGGGTACAGGCCAGAGAGAGGATTCACCAGAGACACAGTGGGGTGTTATATAAATGTATGATTTTATAACTTGGATTAAAAGCAAAGATAGTGAATATCCAGAACTCATTTTCTAGTTATTTTACATTACTTTACAATGGGCATCTCTTGGCTGTGTTCACCTCTACTGTTTCTGCATGGAGAGAGCGCAGAGGCTGACACAGTCCTACAGTTCTCCTGTCTGTGTTAGTATGTAATCAGTAATCAACCATGGTTGGCTCATTGACACCGTGAAATCCCACAAATGTCTTAAGTCAGGCACTGTTTTTGGATGCTCTTTAGATCTGAGAAGCTTCCTTCTGCTGCTTCAACTGTTACTGGAGCTGTGAAGAGCATTTTAGGGCTGTGGCAACACTGGGATACATTTCTGATCAATTATTTTGAAATATAAATCATCATACTTCTAGTGTTGATGCTGCTGCTGCTGAGGGAATAATTTCTCTGAAAGTATTTAACTCTATCCCAGCTAGTCTGGTGCAACTCTGAATTTAATCTTAAATGTAAATTTATGCAGTGGCATTTTAGCATCATCTCTGACATCTTTAGTTACAAGAAACTAAAACTGGCTTTTGCTTTGTGTGTAATTAAAATGTTAAATAAAATATGTATGTAATTAAAATTTCATTCCTATGAAAATACTGTTCTTATGTTTCATACAATATCTTAAAATTTTAACTTCTATTGCTAAAGCTGTATATTTGCTTTGTAATGTTGCAGCAGTTTTCAATGCCAGAGACTCTAAACTGTTTGAAAAAGGAACAGATATGCTTTATTGCAACGAACATGTGTCTGCTTTTATCTTGTAGTAATTTGCTGACAATGTTTATTACCTGTGAGTCACAATTTGCAAGATCAAAAATTGTTTTTCATATTCTTTAATTTTACTTCTGTGCAGATATACTGAGAGAGACTCCTGGATGGAAAAAGAAGGCTATTTCTCTGTGTGGGACGCTGGCGCTCCCGCTTGGGGTCATTGCCCCCAATTTTGGTCCAGATCTGGGCACAGCCGCCTCCCTGGATCACTTGGCAGTCCAGATGTTACCTCACTTGCCGTACCAGGTGCTGGGCCAGCTTCTGTGAACACTTGTTACCTTCATAGCAAAGTGGTAAGTTAGGTATATTTTAATTTTCTTGTTCTTTTTCAAAATTTCTTTATTGTTGCTTCAAGAGCAGAAGTTAAATAACTGGACAACAAAATTTATTTTTAATACAAATTACCTTATTAACTCTACCAGCATTTCTGCCTTTGTAACATTGCCTGAGTTCCCATATATGAGGTCTGTGTGAACAAGGTGTAGCAAGCTGAAACAGTGGGCAGTAATTTGAAATTTATTTCATTAAAATACCTACTTGCTCTGGATTGATTTTCAATGGTGTCCTAGTTTCCTTCAGGAATATGGTCCATTTTAATTTGTATGAGTGATTTAATCTGTATGAGCTTCAGAGAGGTGCTTCTCTCATCATTTGTGTTTTAAATTGCTCTGAGTAGACAAAAGGTGTCTTGGAAGATAGTTTTGCCCTAATTATAAATCCTTAAAAAATAATCAGAGGCTAAGTAACACAAATTAATCTGATTTCCTTTTGGGCCCCTTTATTAGTCTGGATGAGTGCTTGACACCAAAAGAGAGAAGTGAACGGCAGCCAGGCTGGTGTATCCATGTGAACCTTCCCTCTCAGCTCAGCACTGTCCCCCATGTCCTGGCACACAGAGTGGTACTGAGTCAGAAGTGAGGGGGCTGTTGGGGGCCATTCAGCTTTACAAAGTATTTACTTACTTGTTTGTCCTTGGGAGGACCTGAGGTACAGCTCTACCGTAAAGTAAGAGAATCCATACCCGTTATCTGAACTAGAGAGAACAGAGATGCCACTGCATGAGAAGGAAGATTCCAGAAGCTGCTGAGTGCAACAGACTCTCTGCCCCTTTCTCTGTGCTTCCGTGACCTTGGCTCCGGGGTGTCCACCCATGTCCAAAGAGGAGGATACTATAATTTCATCCAAAAAAGTGAACAACTTGAGTGTAGTCAGTGTGAAGCCAGCTGTGGCCGGCGTCTACATGGATTATGTCTGTGTGAGTGTTATACCAGGGGGATGCAGACTTGGATTAGGAAGGTTTAGGCAGTGCTGCGCCTCTTACAATGGTTGGGGAGGGGGAGGAGTTTAAGGGAGGTAAGGCCTGCTCTCTATAGAAATCTATTATTAGAGTTTGTCTTTGGGGTGAAGACATTAAACCCCTAGAAATATTAATTACAGGTAAAGAGTGATATGTCTGCCTGTTATCATTTTGGCCAGGACAATTTCATATCCCTGTTGACTGTTCACTTAGAGAGTTAGACACTGATGGTGTTAAACAGGTACACATATACATAGACACATATGTACACGCACAGACATACACTCATGTACATATACACAAACACACACAGACATACATACACTCGTGTACACACACACTTGGGCAGCTTTGTTTGTTTAGCACATTGAAGCATGAAGTTTATCTTTTGTATTATTTTCCCTAAGTTGCTGAGGGCTGAATGGGGCTCTGGGGGTTAATGAGGTGTGCGTGGGGTCTGGGTAGTCAGATGACACAGTGTCAAAATGTTTTGATTCAAGGATTAAATATCCATGCTCCGGATTTTCAGTTTCATTTCTCAAATGTGAATTTTTAAGTCACCAAAAGAGAAAGTGAAATGGATGAAAACCACCCAGACTCAGAAGTGCTTGTATATTGAGGGCTTACTGTTCACATATATCTTAAAAAAAAAAAAAAATAGTTGGCATAGTAGAATCACACAGAAGTTCAGTCATTGTAAGAATAATTTTGGACTTTCATTTTACTATTTTTTTTTTTTTTGACCAGTGAACCTTTAAAGATTTGGGAAGAAAAGAAAAATTTGGGATGTGTCAAATTCCAGGAAACTTTAATAACAGCAATGAAAATTTGCAATAGGCACGAAAGAGTTAACAGACATTTCCAAGGTGGAAAAATTCTAGTAATCCTCTCTAGGGACAACTCATTTATTTATAAATTAAAATTAGTATTTTTTTTTAAAGAAAGCTTTCAGAAAGACAGGAAGATTATGAGGCAAAGCCTTAATGCAGTTTTTATTTTTATGCTTTAACATCGTATTGACACAACAGGAACACTTCAAACACACCCACACCCCAGGAAATGATACTCAGGCCCATGTGATCGATTTAGATGGGAAGAAAAGTAATTTGCTTGGCAGCTCCCTGGTTGTTTTAAGAGTTTCAGAAAAATGTAAATGAGAACCGTTTCAGAAGCCAATTCGGACCCCAGACCCAAACCCCAAACTCAACCCAGGACTTTTCATCAGCGCGAGGGGAGCGCTGGGCGATCAAGAGAGCGCGGGAGCTTGGGCCAGGACCGCTGTCCCTCGGCTTCGGCAGAGGTGTGGGTGGGGACCTCCATCTCCCCATGTCTCCCGGAGACGCAGCCGCGGCCGGGATCGGGAAGGGGCTGCGGAAACGCGACCGGACCGAACGCAGGGCTGGCGGCGGGAGAGAGTGTCCCCGCGCCCCGCTGGTGTCCGGGGTGCTGAAAGCCGGCGCTTCCTGGGTAGCTGCAGCTCTCTTCTGTTCCGGAGTGGGGGGTCTCCGGCTGCGTCCCGAGTAAGCCCGCTCAGTCCCGCGGCCCTGAGGTTCCTGCCAGGTGTGGCTTCCCCAGCCCGGTTCGCGGAGGGGTGATGCGGTCAGCATCGTGGACGCCCGGGCAGGACCCCGGGATACTCCCGCAGCCCTGCGCGCGCCCCCCATCCCGGGGCCCGCGGTGGCTGGT